ATGTTCCAGGAAAGCTTGATTCAGAATGTTTAATACTGAGACCTATCTCAGTGAAGTCATTGAGGTAAAAAAGAGATAAGAAAAAAAAAGAAGGTTGACTTCCTGAGGAATACAAGCAAGAAAAAAAAGTCTGCGATGAGGGGGGAAGAGTGAGGCCAGCCTCAGACCCCTTCCCAGGAGAAGGAGCTAAACCTACCACATTCTATGGGAAAGAAAGTGAGACCTGAGAATATTGCGCCCAGCCCAGATGAGCGTAGTGTAGTGGCAACAAAGACATGCTTAAACAGCCAAAACCCTTCCTGAAAAAAACAGCTTAACAACGAAATTCTGTTTATTAAGAGATGAATGCAAACGAGGAACTTGCCAATGGAAAAGTCTTGATCAAAGAATCAGGGGAGAGCATTGAATTCATTTAAATTTAGACTGTATACTAAGCGTCAACCCAAAAGTTTAGGCTACAAAAAAGAATAAGAATCATTTATTTGAGCAAACACAGTTACAACTCAGGAGACAAATATAGGTAGCGACCCAAACTTCTTTGGGGAGAGAACAAAGAAGGGCCAAGTTTATAACCAGTGAAAAGCACAAAGTATACTCCTTTCATGCACAGGAGGGTTGCTGTCTAGGTTAACAGGGACTGGTTAGTTCCAACATGCAGATGAGGGAGATAAAGAATACAAGGAGGCTGTAAAGTCCGTATGTGCCCACCCAGCAGCTCCACAGTGGTTGTGACTGGCTTTGAGCTGAGTTCAGCAACAGTGTAGCCACGGAGGCACCCACTGTGCATGGGCCCAGAGGATCCACTAACCTGATAACCTCCTGACTCAGTGTTAAGTGACCCTCTTGGTATTGCTTATTCCATGTTTTTCGTTATCACAATGCAATTGCTTAACTATGCAATTATGTTTTTACAGAACAGGTAATGATTATTATAAACCTGGATAATACAAAGATAATAGTAGCCCTGGCTGAATGGCTCAGTTGGTTGGAGCATCATCCTGTGCACCAAAGCGTTGAGGGTTCGATTCCTGGTTAAGGCACATACCTAGGTTTCAGGTTCTATTCCCGGTGGAGGCGTATATGATGTTCCTCTCTCACTCTCATGTGACATTTCTCATCCCACATTGATGTTTCTCTCTCTAAAAGGAAAATAAAGATATAGTATAAGTAACAAAAGTATACTGTAAGTATAAGGAGGCAGGGTCAAGGGACATGGAAAGATGGAAAAAAATCATGGGAGCTAATACATGCACATAATTGAAATGTGTAATTTAAAAAGTCACTGTACTCATGGATGATGTAGCTCAGTGGATTGAGTGCTGGCCTGTGAGCCAAAGGGTCGCTGGTTCAATCCCCAGACAGGGCACATGTGTGGGTTGTGGGCCGGGTCCCCAGTGCGGGGCACATGAGAGGCAACCACACTTTGATGTTTCTCTCCCTCTCTGTCTCCTTTTCTTCTCCTCTCTCTAAAAATAAATAAATACAATCTTCAACAAAAAATTACTCTAACCTCTTGATGTTTTTCACAATTTTTGTTTAACCTCAGAGGTATCTTTTAGGAAGTAATAGCTCTTGTGGTCAAGACACATTATTTGAAATTCAACTCTTCCTTCAGTTTCACTTCAACTTCTTTTAAATTCAAGTAAAATTAAATTTAATACTTTTTATTAAAGGAGCATATATATTACGGTCATTTCTGTAGTTGATTCTGTAGCTGATTACTTTCTTGTCTTTTTTCAATATTTTAATTTCCCAATAAATAAACAATTTAAAAATGTTTTTTAAAAAATGTTCAGGCATTCCTTGGAGTAGGGTAAGTCACCCAGAAACAGACTTGGCAGAGATTGCCGCTGTCTCTCCACGTTGACTCTCCAACAGCGTACGGAGCTTTCCCTGTGCATGATGGTTAGAATAAAGGCCCCATTTCCCAGTTCTCGCCCATTGGATCGATGCAGAGTTGCCCTGTGGCAGCTTCTGGGATCGTCTGAGAGTGTTTGCTCATTTTCTCTTTATCACCTTCATTTCCTCCTGCTGCTTGGAATGCAAGCGTCAAATATGGGACCGTGAGGTCAAGGCCTTCCGAACTGAAGCAACACAGAAGGTGTGTGGAGAGTGTCAGGTCTCTAGACTGCCTGCCTGGGGAACCTGAGGAAGAGGGACACCCCTGTCTTGGCCAAGCAACTGAATGGGACCCTCAGTCATCCACAGACTGACACACTCGTGGAAATTTAGTCTGTGATACTATTTGCACTGTGGATCATTGGGCAAGTGAAACAATTGGCTTGGCATACACATAAGCGCATCATTGATGGACCTAAACTGACGAGTCTTTTTTAATGTTTTATAGGAAAATACAAAGAGAGTATCTTCCTGAATTTGAGATAGGAAAATGTTTTTAAAAGAGGCGTTATGGTGAAAATCAGAAAGGAAATAACGGAAACTTTACAACATCAACATTTTAAATTTTTGCGTGAAAAGAAGCTATAACCAAAAGTAGAAGGCAGGCAATAGTGAGGTCCGCCATCTTCAAGTTCACAGTGGGGCTGGGTGAGCATGGGGCGCGGGCAGGGGGTGGCCAACAGAGTCTGGGGAGCACCACGCGCTCCCCAACCTCCCAGCCGGTGACGGTGCGTGTCAGCTTATCAACAGCTCCGAGGGCTTCTACGGAAACCTTTTTCTGTGTGAAACGCAGCATTCTATACGTGTGGTCAGTTGACTGCGGGGCCACTCTGGGTGTGTACGTAACATCTGTGAACTTCTCCTGGGTGTGTAAGGGACCCTTGGAAGTGCTGCCATAAGAAATAACACGTTTCCTTGTGTGGAATGACTGTTGCGTTCCCCCTATGTCCCCACAGGTGGTACCCTTCTTCAGGGGTTCTGACTGGCAGCGGCATGGGGCGGTGGGGGTGGGGTCGAGGCCGGCGGTGGGGAGGAGGAGTGGGAGGAGAAATGGAAGGAGAAGGAGGAGGGGGAGGAAGGAGGAGAAGGAGAAAAAGAGGGAAAAGAAGGAAAATAAGAAATTTGGGGTTTGGGGAGTAGGTATGAATTCTCCTAGAAGAGCAAACATATCCCACAAGAAGGAAGTCAGCTGTAATCTGGGTTTTTCCTTTTCACGGCCACCAGCTGGGGCTGCTAGAAGCAGATATTTTGAAATATACCGAACTTAGGGGAAAAAAAGAGACCATTTTAAACATAGTTTAGGGAAGATCCTAGGGCGTTGTGATGCAGAAAATGGCAGTTGGGTCAGATTTCCTGCCAGTTATAGGAAAAGAAAAGGCAACGACAGATACAGCCTGGGAAGATCGATTCAATCTCTCCCCCCTGCCCCCCAACCCCCGCCCCGCCCCCCCTTGGCTCTGACCTTAAGACCTTTGTAATCTAGAGAGGGAGGTTTTATTAAACATTACTTCAAGCATAGTTTAAAGCCCTTTATTTATTTTCTCTCATTTAATCCTGTGACGTAGGCACCATGATTATTCTCATTTGGGGGATGAGGAAGGGGAGGCAGGCATAGTTGCTGAGGTGTCCAAGTTAAATGCTAGCAGGGGGTGCAGCAGGATCCCAGCCCAGGTGGTTTAGGCTGGGTCCCGCTCCCACACCTGCCGCTCGGCCCATTTCTGGTAGGCTACTATTTGCCGTGCATGTGGACCGCCACGACAGAGAAAGGAACCAAGTGAAAGTAGTCAGAAAGTTCCCGGGGGACGTCGGCTCACCTTGGGGAGAGCGGCCATTGCCTGCGCGAGAGGGCAGGGGAGAGCCAGCGCGGGGTGAGAAGGTCAGCTGCCTGAAAGCCCGCGGAAGGGCGGGTCCGGGGATCCTCTTAGGGCCAGGAGTGCCAAGGCCAGATGTGGTCTTCGGGCATCTCCAGCCAGGACAAAGATTCTGAGCAGGAGGGACAGGCCAGTCGCTTCTCAGGAAGACGTCGGGGACCAGACGGTGTGCGCGCGTGTGTGGCAGGGGGTGGGGGTTGGGACGGTAGATGAGGTCAATGCAGGAACAGGAGGAAAAGTGTGTCACTTTCCCAAAGACTGGACAGAAAAGCAGGGGGAAGGGAAAGAAAAGGAGGGGCTCTCCGAGGATTCGGAGTGGAATTTCTCAGATGGATAGTGGTTGAAGACGCCTGCTTGGCCAGAGGTGTTTGTTTTCTGAGTTTTGCGCACGGGATGGATAGTAAGAATAGCAGAGAGAAAGTACGGGGCATTAGGAGCAGTGGTCCTCTTTGCACAGCGCCCAGACTCCACTGAGACGTCGCCCCAACCCTTGGGGCAGATAGGGCGATGGTCACTTGCAATTCGACGCCTTGACTGTCGAGCTCGGCGTTTCTATTGCACAAATCCCGGGCCTGAAATGCGCATCCTGCGCATTCGTTGCGCAAGGAGCTGAAGGCTGGTCCCTTGGCCAGGAAGGCCGCCCGGCCAGACGTGCGGGTCCCGCCCTGTGTCCCGCCCTGGCTCTATCCAGAGCATCAGGTGGGGCCCAGGGCACGGGCTTTACGAGGCGGAGGCGGCCTCTCGTGGACCCGGGGGGCCGCAGTCAGCCAGCCCATCGACACCCTGGCTGGTGTTCCCAGTGCATTTGCAGGCTCCTGCGCGGTGGAGGCGGCTTGGCAGGGGAGACCCCTGGGGCGCACGCAGCACCCCACTCTCCGCCACACGGAACTGGCTTCCTAGGGCGCGGGCCGCAGCACTCCCACGCGGGCTCGGCCCCAGTCTCCCAGGGACACGCGGCAAGGCGGGAGGCACCGGCCCCCCGGGCGCTGCCCTCCCCGGCCCCCCAACTCGCAGACTACAAGTCCCAGCAGCCCCCGCAGCTGGCACCTCTCGCCGCGCCGCCGAGACCCCCGGCCGTCCAAGCAGCGGGGCTCGGGCTGCGCTCGTGGCCCGGCCGGGCGGGGAGGCCGGTCCCGCGGGCGGGGGCGGGGGCAGCTCCGCTGCTTCTCCCGCCGCCGCCGCCAAGGGGAGTTTCCAGGAAGTGGCCATATTGGATCCATTCAGCCGCAGCCGCCCGGGCGGAGCGCGTCCCGCAGCCGGCTCGTCCCCGTCGCGGCCCCGGGTGCTCGCCCCGGCCCGCCCGCCCGGTGCGGAGCTCGCCATGGCGGCCACGGACCTGGAACGCTTCTCGGTGAGGGCCGTGCTGGGCCGCGGCGAGCGCGGGGGGCGCGGGGCGCGGGGCGGGGGCCGCCCTGCAGCTGGCGGGTCGCGAGCCGGGCTGTCAGCGCCGCGCGGTCGGGCCTCGACGCCGGCCCGGCCGGGGGGCGCCAGAGCGGGCCCTTCGCAGCGCCAGCCGAGGATCCGGGGGCGTCGGGCGGGGGCGTCTTGCCGGGCGGCTGGCGCGGTCGCCCCCCATGGGCGCCGGAGAGGCAGGCCCCTTTCGCGGGAAGGAACAAATAAATCCGCGCCCGGCTCCGGCCAGGTGCGAGTACGGACTGGGGCCGCGGGGGCGGGAGGGGAGGACCGTGGATACTCCGACCCCCACCTTCCTGGGTATTTCTTCCTGCACCGCCGGGGAGATTCCTGCCCGCGCAGGTGCTGTTGGATGGGCACCACCGGCGAGGATGAAGCCTTAGGGACCCGAGGAGTACCCAGATGAGCTCAGGGCAGTGGCCGATTGCGTCCTGAAGACCCTGGGCCTGCTTTTCCTCTCCTCCCCTCCTTCCTCCCCCGCCCCGGCCCCGCACACAAGCGACAGAATCCTGGGTGCGATTCCAGGCAGGTCCGGCCTCAGTGGTCAGGTCTGAGGCAGCCATTCCATTCCCCGGGAGCTGGGGCGATTCCAGATTCAGCCCAGTGGCTGTCGGTCTGGGACTCAGGGCTCTGGCGGTCCCTGCAGGGGTCCCTGGGCCTGAGCCAGCCCATGGCCAACTTCCTGAAGGTTTTTCTAATCCAGACCGGGGAGGGGGACCTTTGGGGGGTTGTGTCTGCATGTCCCCTGGTGTCTAAGACTGGATCTGGGTGTGTCTGGGAGGCTGGGCTGTGACAGTGAAGGAAGCTGTGTCCTCTTGCCAGCCTGTGAGGCCCTGGTGGGGGGGCGGGTCGGGGCGGGGGAGCCCAGGGCTGTTGGGGGGTTGGGGAGAATGCTGAATATGTGACTGATAAGGAATTGGTTCTGGGGCTAAATGAGGGAGCTAGGACTTATGTAATTAATGCTATAAATACAGTCATCTGAATTTATATATGTAAATTTCCCCCTTAACCTGAAAATACATGTGTTGGTCTCCTTTGGAAATATGCATAACTAAAGCAGGAGCTCTTGATTTCACAGCTGCTCGTCTGGAGTGTTTCATTTTCGCTGGGGAGGGGGCTGTGTCGTTTTAGAAAGTTTAGATACGGGAGGAGCAGATTCACCGTTGATGAATCAGAGACTCGCCTCTCCTCTGCCCTGCTCGTCGGCACTTAGGTACCCAGGGAGGGCAGCGCCCACGTCCTACCAGACCCGCCGATCAGCGGGAGGCCCGGAGACCTGCGAGTGCGTGTGTGCCTGTGCGCGTTTTTTCCGCCCAGCTGACCAGAAAGTTATGTCTGGGTCTTGTGTGTCTGTGTGGCCAGACATTGCTCTAACAGTTGGTCTTGCAGGTGGGAGCAGTGGGGTAACCAGAACCAGACCACCTGACTTGCGGGCCAAGTCGGGCACGTTGTTTAACCCCTCAGTGTTCTCATCTGAAGAAGAGAATAAACTCCCTCATAGGGTTCCGTAAGAGGGTCCCGGCGAGGGACTTGGAGCGGTGTCTGGCACGTGGTAAGACACGGTGAATGAGACAGGACACCTGGTGCCCGTGTGGATGTGAAGGCTGGCCCTGTATAAGAAGGCAGCGGAGGACACGTTTGTCCCGTTATCCAGCACCCTACCCAGGGGCTCCGGTCACCGCATGTCCGGAGACTGTCCTCAGAGGCGGAGCCGCGAGGCCCAGGCACTGCCAGGCGGGCTGGAAAGGCCTTTTCCTTCAGCTTCTCCTGTTGGCTCTCTGAGGGTTTGGGGTGTTAACCCCTTGGTGAGCGGAGGCACAGAGAGGGGACTGACTCAGGTAGGGGAGTGCGGCCTGGGCTCAGGGGCCTGGGTGCTGTGCCGGGTTAAGCTGGATGAATGGACACCTTCCACACCATCCGCGTTCGGGGAGTCAGACTCCTGGGAGGACTGGGACAGGGTTGAATTTGGGTGGATACTTTGGGTGGGGTTTTGGCCTCAGTTTAGGAGACTGGACTCCATTTTCCTCTCCTGGCTTGTCATCCTGGGAAAATAATTTCCTTTATCTTGCTACAGTGGGCACAACCATGTTGATACTCTTCAAAGAGTGCGCTGGAGGTTAATTGCAGTCCGTGGCATGTTTGGAGGGAGGCTTAGGTGTCTCACCAGCCCCAGGGCTGGCTGGGGTGTGAAGCGGCCGCCAGGAGGCCCTGATCGAACTGCGCTGCGGCAGGTCTGCGCGACCTTTGCGGCTGGCGCGTGGTCCTCCCAGCCCTGGGGGGCCGGGAGCCGTCCCAGCCTGGAGCCGAGGTGAGCACACAGAATTGCACTTTGAGTCTGCATGTGCTGGGCTCCTGGTCCCCGCAGAGCGCAAGGTGAACGCCGCAGGCTCAGCAGCCTGTGTGCTTGGTGGCTCGGCAGCTCAGCCCTGGGTTGGCCATGGGGTCACGGACGGCAGCTCCTGGAAGGGCGTGTCCGGGACAGCCATCCGAGGAATTTCTGTTGCCACTTGCCCTCCTTGGGCAACCAGATTTCCATCCACTCTTGCTCCGCCCCTCCTCCTCACGGGGTCCCAGCCCCGGGGCCTGCCCTTTCCTGCCCGAGAGCCCTCTCCCGGCAGTCTCCTTGGGCAGGGATCAAACTCCACCTTGGGGGTGGCTCGAGGGCTGGGGAAAGTGGAGCTATGAGAGGGACAGGGAAGATGCGTGCGGCATGGCAGCCTCACGCCTGGCATTCTTCCCGGCCAGCCTCCCCCCCCCACGTCAGCTTTATCCCCAGCACCATCTGTCACTTCCGTTGTCACCCCTGTAATCTTCACACTTCCCCAAGAAGCAGGCTACCCAGGGAGTGCCCATTCCCTCCCTGAAGCTAGAGCTGGTGGGGAGGGACAGTGGGAGGCAGCCCTGTCGCCCCCGTGGGGCTCTGTCGCAGAGTGGCGCTTCCCCGTGCTGCAGAAATGGCCAGGGCGCTCTGTGCCGGGCTGTTCCGAAGGAGGAAGGAGAGCCACACAAAGGTGGCTGTGGGCTCTCAGTGCCTGGAGGCGTTGAGGGGCCGTAAGGGAGCCCCGCCTTCCCGGGGGAGGTGGGTCTGCCCTGCCCTCCCTCCCTCCCCCGTGGGCGGCGGGCTGTTCTGTGGGTGCCCACGTCAGGAGGGTCTGCCTCAGACCTTGGTGGGTCCGAGCAGGGGGGCCGGTGGGAGGCCTTTGAGATCCAGGGAGCACGCGATGAGGAACTGAGCCGGGGAGGAGCAGAGAGCGTAGCACGAAGGAGGCCGATCACAGTGCCCGTGAGCTGGGAGGACGCACGGAGGCCGGGAAGCAGGGCCTGACTCGCGTCAAGAGTTTGGATGGCAGGGAGGGCGCTGGATGTTTGTGGCCGTCACCATGTTGATACCAGCAGCCTGTAGGTGGTGAGGGTGCAGGCTGTGGTCATGGGCTAGTTTGGGTCCGAGACCCCGCCCCAGCTCCCGGTAGATGGCAGAGAGGGTGGAGCCCCCTGAGCTTTGGAGACGGAGGTGGGCTAGGTGGGGGTGCATATTTGGGGCAGTGACCACCATGAATGTCGCTGTGGCTCGGGTCCAGCTCCGGAAGCGAGCAGCTGCAGGATGGCAGAGCAGAGGGCCTGCTGAGGGCCGCCTGGCCTGTGCGTGTCCCTGCGGCCAGTTCAGCCTTCCTGCGCCCGTGCTGCCCGCGCAGGTCCCGGGGTCCCCAGGCCGGGCCCCCACGGCACAAGCTTTGCCAGACGAGCAGGGGTGGAGCCGCGCAGGCGGGAGAGTGACACGTCTGCCTGGGGAAGGGGTGCCACCCCGGTCGGCGGGCCCTCAGGGAGCCCAGGAGACGTGGTGGAGGGTAGGGCCGGGGGCGTCCTGGCTCTACTGTCCGTTGCCCTGGGTGGGCTTGCAGCAAATTAGATATTCTCCTCCTCAGAACACGTGGCTCCCGGGGGGTCCTTGGCTGCCATCCTGGAGGCCACATCAGAGGGGCAGAACCAGGGGAGGAAGGAGTAAGAGCCTAGTTCAGGTTTCAGGAGGTGGCAGCTCTCTGAGGGGCCTCCTGGGCTTGGGACACCGGGGCCCGAGGGGTCAGGAGGGGCTGGGGGCGTAGACCCTCGTCCACTCAGCAGACCTGGCTGCGGGGCCTGGGTGTGAGCCTGACCCTCGGTCGGGCGTTGGGTGGGCGGGCAAGCAGTCGGGGAGTTTAGCAGTGCTGCCCCGCGCTGCCGCTGGCCCATGGCGGGGCGCACGCACTCCTCTGCCCCTCCTCGGCGCCGGCCCCGTCCTGGGGTAGGAGGGGTCAGGGTCGCAGTGCTGCCCACGTTTCCCTCCCAAGGGCGGGTCTCATTCCCTGTGGAACACAGGCCGCCCCGGCCCAGCCGTGCCCTCTCCCTGCTGCAAGGCAGCGGGCTGCCTGCAGTCCCCGCGCCTCCCAAGGCCCAGAGCACCCTCCCCCCTGCTCCCTGGTGGGATGGACCACTCCCTCTCAGGCAGCACAGCAAAGCCCAAGAATGTGACTGTGTCCTTGGCCAGGGCGGGATGGGTGGACCCAGAGACCAGGAACTGGTCTGTGCGCTTGGCTTCTGAGCAACCTGATTTTGACATGAGATGTATGAAACCAGGCATCCCAAATGACTCGTGTCTTCTCCCGGGTTCTCTGTTGCTGCCTTAGAGAGACCCTCTGGCCCCCAGGTGTCCTCGTGGTTCGGGACAGGTATATCCTGGCCCGTCCTCCTGGTCCAGGTTAGCAGCATTCTTGCCCCAGCTCCCACATACATCCCTTTGGTTATTTCCCGTAACCCTTGACCTGGGCTCAGAGGCTTGCTGTGGAATCCTGGGACCAGAGCCTGGGCCTTTCCTGGGAAAATTCCTAGGATTCCTATCGGACTCAAGGACAGTTGTGCTGTGACCATGGGCTCCGGCCAGAGGCCTCTGCTCTGGCTATTTAA